CAGGTGGAGGGAGTAAGGAGACCCGGCTATAGAGGACTACAAATCCCAGCAATACATTATACAGCAATACAAAATAATATGAAGTTACATACTCTGTGCGGTTGTATGTGGACTCTCAGGTGGACTGTGTGGACTCTCAGGTGGGCTATGCGGGCTCTCAGGTGGGCTATCCAGGCTCTCAGGTGGGCTATGCGGCCTCAGGTGGGCTATGCGGACTCTCAGGTGGGCTATGCGGACTCTCAGGTAGGCTATGTGGTCTCTTAGGTGGACTATGCGTGCTCTCAGGTGGACTATGCGTGCTCTCAAGTGGGCTGTGTGGACTTTCAGGTGGGCTATGCGGTCTCTCAGGTGGACTATGAGGTCTCTCAGGTGGACTATGCGGTCTCTCAGATGGACTATGCATGCTCTCAGGTGGGCTGTGTGGACTTTCAGGTGGGCTGTGTGGACTCTCAGGTGGACTATGCGGTCTCTCAGGTGTACTATGCGGTCTCTCAGATGGACTATGCATGCTCTCAGGTGGGCTGTGGGGACTCTCAGGTGGACTATGCATGCTCTCTGGTGGGCTGTGTGGACTATGTGGGCTCTCTGGTGGGCTGTGTGGACTCTCAGGTGGACTATGCGTGCTCTCAGGTGGACTATGCGTGCTCTCAGGTGGGCTGTGTGGACTCTCAGGTGGACTATGCGTGCTCTCAGGTGGGCTATGCGTGCTCTCAGGTGGACTATGCATGCTCTCTGGTGGGCTGTGTGGACTCTCAGGTGGACTATGCGTGCTCTCAGGTGGGCTGTGTGGACTCTCAGGTGGACTATGCGTGCTCTCTGGTGGGCTGTGTGGACTCTCAGGTGGACTATGCGTGCTCTCTGGTGGGCTGTGTGGACTCTCAGGTGGACTATGCGTGCTCTCAGGTGGGCTGTGTGGACTCTCAGGTGGACTATGCGTGCTCTCTGGTGGGCTGTGTGGACTCTCAGGTGGACTATGCGTGCTCTCTGGTGGGCTGTGTGGACTCTCAGGTGGACTATGCGTGCTCTCAGGTGGGCTGTGTGGACTCTCAGGTGGACTATGCGTGCTCTCTGGTGGGCTGTGTGGACTCTCAGGTGGACTATGCGTGCTCTCTGGTGGGCTGTGTGGACTCTCAGGTGGACTATGCGTGCTCTCAGGTGGGCTGTGTGGACTCTCAGGTGGACTATGCGTGCTCTCTGGTGGGCTGTGTGGACTCTCAGGTGGACTATGCGTGCTCTCTGGTGGGCTGTGTGGACTCTCAGGTGGACTATGCGTGCTCTCAGGTGGGCTGTGTGGACTCTCAGGTGGACTATGCGTGCTCTCTGGTGGGCTGTGTGGACTCTCAGGTGGACTATGCGTGCTCTCTGGTGGGCTGTGTGGACTCTCAGGTGGACTATGCGTGCTCTCAGGTGGGCTGTGTGGACTCTCAGGTGGACTATGCGTGCTCTCTGGTGGGCTGTGTGGACTCTCAGGTGGACTATGCGTGCTCTCTGGTGGGCTGTGTGGACTCTCAGGTGGACTATGCGTGCTCTCAGGTGGGCTGTGTGGACTCTCAGGTGGACTATGCGTGCTCTCTGGTGGGCTGTGTGGACTCTCAGGTGGACTATGCGTGCTCTCAGGTGGGCTGTGTGGACTCTCAGGTGGACTATGCGTGCTCTCAGGTGGGCTGTGTGGACTCTCAGGTGGACTATGCGTGCTCTCTGGTGGGCTGTGTGGACTCTCAGGTGGACTATGCGTGCTCTCAGGTGGGCTGTGTGGACTCTCAGGTGGACTATGCGTGCTCTCAGGTGGGCTGTGTGGACTCTCAGGTGGACTATGCGTGCTCTCAGGTGGGCTGTGTGGACTCTCAGGTGGACTATGCGTGCTCTCTGGTGGGCTGTGTGGACTCTCAGGTGGACTATGCGTGCTCTCAGGTGGGCTGTGTGGACTCTCAGGTGGACTATGCGTGCTCTCAGGTGGGCTGTGTGGACTCTCAGGTGGACTATGCGTGCTCTCTGGTGGGCTGTGTGGACTCTCAGGTGGACTATGCGTGCTCTCTGGTGGGCTGTGTGGACTCTCAGGTGGACTATGCGTGCTCTCAGGTGGGCTGTGTGGACTCTCAGGTGGACTATGCGTGCTCTCTGGTGGGCTGTGTGGACTCTCAGGTGGACTATGCGTGCTCTCAGGTGGGCTGTGTGGACTCTCAGGTGGACTATGCGTGCTCTCAGGTGGGCTGTGTGGACTCTCAGGTGGACTATGCGTGCTCTCTGGTGGGCTGTGTGGACTCTCAGGTGGACTATGCGTGCTCTCAGGTGGGCTGTGTGGACTCTCAGGTGGACTATGCGTGCTCTCAGGTGGGCTGTGTGGACTCTCAGGTGGACTATGCGTGCTCTCTGGTGGGCTGTGTGGACTCTCAGGTGGACTATGCGTGCTCTCAGGTGGGCTGTGTGGACTCTCAGGTGGACTATGCGTGCTCTCTGGTGGGCTGTGTGGACTCTCAGGTGGACTATGCGTGCTCTCTGGTGGGCTGTGTGGACTCTCAGGTGGACTATGCGTGCTCTCTGGTGGGCTGTGTGGACTCTCAGGTGGACTATGCGTGCTCTCAGGTGGGCTGTGTGGACTCTCAGGTGGACTATGCGTGCTCTCTGGTGGGCTGTGTGGACTCTCAGGTGGACTATGCGTGCTCTCAGGTGGGCTGTGTGGACTCTCAGGTGGACTATGCGTGCTCTCAGGTGGGCTGTGTGGACTCTCAGGTGGACTATGCGTGCTCTCTGGTGGGCTGTGTGGACTCTCAGGTGGACTATGCGTGCTCTCAGGTGGGCTGTGTGGACTCTCAGGTGGACTATGCGTGCTCTCAGGTGGGCTGTGTGGACTCTCAGGTGGACTATGCGTGCTCTCTGGTGGGCTGTGTGGACTCTCAGGTGGACTATGCGTGCTCTCAGGTGGGCTGTGTGGACTCTCAGGTGGACTATGCGTGCTCTCTGGTGGGCTGTGTGGACTCTCAGGTGGACTATGCGTGCTCTCTGGTGGGCTGTGTGGACTCTCAGGTGGACTATGCGTGCTCTCTGGTGGGCTGTGTGGACTCTCAGGTGGACTATGCGTGCTCTCAGGTGGGCTGTGTGGACTCTCAGGTGGACTATGCGTGCTCTCAGGTGGGCTGTGTGGACTCTCAGGTGGACTATGCGTGCTCTCAGGTGGACTATGCGGCCTACCAGGTGGCTGTATTGTGTCTTCAGTGGGCTGTGCGGGCAGTGCAATGTCTCACCAGGGGTCCAGAGGTGGGCAGCGTGGTATCAGGAAGACGGAGGAGGAGATCTGTGAGCGGGCGCCTGCGGCTCATAAAAATTTGCAACTGCTGCCATTATATTCTACAGAGTCTCGGCTTTCAGAAAATATATTATGTCTGGGGGGTTTGAAGTAATTTTCAGACCTAAAATGTGGAATATACAATGTAAACAAAAAAAAACGGCGGGAAAAAAAGGCCTTTGTCCTTATGGGGTTAAAAATGGCACCCCAATGCCCGGCGGGCAACACGTAATACCACAATAACGCATTTAGCACAACATTAAGGTGTGAATAGGCCGTAGCGCAGAATGCCGCAGCGCTTCGCCGCCTCTGAACGCAGCAAACTAGCCACCCAGATCGCTTTCTGAGTCCTAAGGGGCCCATGCGTTATATGTCACTTACTATAGGCAATAAAATATCACTCACACATACAGCCGTCTTTATTCGTTATGTCTCCCCATCCCCCCCTGACTCCGCTCGCTGTCACTGTTTGCGTTCCCGTCCTGGCGCTGACCGGCGAGGGTTAATGTCTATACGAAGTGTCTTGTTCCTCTGAGTCTCTGCTTCCTGCCCCAGGACGCTCATCAGGAGGGTATTTATAATCTCATGACACTGACTGACCCTCCGCTGCAGGATGGAAGACAAGTCACTGATCCTGAGGCCCCTGTGTGCGCAGGAAAGGGTCGGAGTTCCCCTTTATAAGTCAGCCGGGGGGAATGGCGTTCCTTGCGGGTTTTTCCGTGAGGGGCCATTTAGGTCTACGCGTGTTGCGTAGAGGTGGGTCAGGTTCATCTCCTCCGTGCGTTGATGCCGCGTGCTTCCAATGCGAATTTTGCACTCAGGATTTTGGACAGGAGAGAGTTAACAGACATTGCGGCCCTGCCGGTATCACACTTCCTGTCCTAGGGTGACAACATTCGCTCATTATACTGTAAGAAGGAGCAGCGTTGTCACCCTAAGACAGGAGTAGAGAAAACCCCGCCTCTCACCTATTCTGCATAGCATAGTGTTCTGTAGTCCACAGACTTTATATGGAGGTTAGGTAAGAACTCAGACAATCGAGGCCTAACATTGGCGGCGTGCTGCTATCTGGACACTGAATTGCTGGGACTTTTAATTCGGCATTGGCTGCGGCCTGCGAATAGGGTTGCCACCTGTTCAGGATTCACCCGGACAGTCCGGGTTTTGAATGCTGTGTTCGGGTTTCATGGCAGCAGAAACCCCGGACACAGGATGTCAGGCAGAAAGGGGCATCCAAAATTAAGATAGGGGGCTACTGGCCCCCCACTGAAAATAGTCTCAACTGTGATATTTACATATGAATGGACGGCACTTTTTACATATGAACAAGCCGCGACTCATTCTCCCACAAAAATTACCATGCGTCGCTGGAGTGTTCGGGTTTCGCTTGAAGAAAAGGTGGCAACCCTACCTGCGAATAAAACACTGGGACTGCTGGGACTTACAGTTCCATATTAGCTGCATGCTGCTATCTGGATGCTGGGAGTTGTAGTTCTGTACTGGGTGTGAACTACTAACTGGGACCGATGGGACTTGCAGTTCTACATTTGCTGTGTGCTGCTATCTGGACACTGGGACTGCTGGGACTTGTAGTTCTGTATTGACTGGGTGCTGCTATATGGATGCTGGGAATTATAGTCACGCATTGACTGTGCCCTGCTATCTGGGCCCTGGGACTTGTAGCTCTGTATTGGCTGTGTGCTGCTATCTGGGCACTGGGACTGCTGGGACTTGTAGTTCTGTACTTATTATTATTTGTATCATTCTTATTATTATCTGTCTTCTTCTCCTTTTTTTTTATTATTATTATTATTTTCTGTCTTCTCCTTTTTATTATTATTATTATTATTATTTGTATCATTCTTATTATTATCTGTCTTCTTCTCCTTTTTATTATTATTATTATTTGTATCATTCTTATTATTATCTGTCTTCTTCTCCTTTTTTTTTATTATTATTATTATTATTATTTTCTGTCTTCTCCTTTTTATTATTATTATTATTTGTATCATTTCTTTTTATTATCATTATTATTATTATTATCCTTCTTCTTCTCCTTTTTATTATTATTATTATTATTATTCTTCATTTTCTTCTCCTTTTTATTATTATCATTTATATCATTCTTCTTCTGATTATTATTTATTATGATTATCCTCCTGTCATTGTTCTTTGTATTGTTTGGCTTTGCTGATAATAATTCCCTCCTCGGGTCCCGGGGACGGTGACATGTTCTGATGAGGAGGAAGCCGCCGCCGCCGTGCTGTGCGCTGACATTGCGGACATGTAATGTCTCCGTCACATTAGTTACATTGTTCTTCTAGAATGCTGGAAGATCTGAGTGCAGAGGAAAGTCTCCTGAGAACGGGTCTTCTCGTGTGTCTCTCTCTCCGTGACGCACGCCCCAGAAATAAGAGGACCGTTTCTTGTCACGGATTGGGCTGGAGGGCTTTCTGATGCCTGTAGTCCCCTCTCACCTGATAAGTCGGAGCGGAGAGAAAACGCAGACCAGACCTTTGTGTCCCACATGTGGACACCATAGTTGAGGGGGATGGTGGGGGACGTGTGAGAGCCAGCCCACATCACACACACAGAGAGAGAGAGAGCGAGCGACATTGTTCCCCAGGCCCCAGGCAGCCAAGCTCGTCAGCTTGTCCTCTGAAAACAATGAGCAGCTCTGCGGAGGACAGCGACGTCCTGCAGATGACGGCGGCCGAGGGCTCTCTCGGGGAGGAGGCCCAGCAGCCGCCCGCAGACGAGGAAGGGCGAGCTCAGAGCCCGCTGGCCCCCGTGAGAGTCCGTCAGCCTCGCATGTTCAGGAGGCGCGCGTACCTCCTGGACGAGCTGTCCGACGAGGAGGTGGTGAGGAGGTACCGGCTCAACCGCTCCGCCATCCAGGAGCTCTTCGACCTGGTCGGGGAGGACCTGGAGCCCCAGACGAGGAGGAACAAGGCGCTGCCCGGCATGTGCAAGCTGCTGGCGGTCTTGTACTTCTTGGGCAACGCCACCTTCCAGCCGGTCACTTCGCTTCTCATCGGCATGAGCCAGCCGACCTTCTCCAGGATCCTCAAGCAGGTGGTGGAGGCCATACTGAAGCACTCCAGGCGCCTCATCCATTTCCCGTCGTCCTCGGCGGACTGGCAGAGGGTCAAGCAGGACTTCTTCCTGCTGGGGGGGATGCCGAACTGCCTGGGCGCCATAGACTGCACCCACATCGCCCTCGCCCCGCCGCGGGAGAGGGAGGAGGTGTTCCGCAACTGGAAGGACTTCCACTCGCTCAACGTGCAGGTGGTGTGCGATTCCCACCTGCGCATCATGAGCGTCAACGCCGCCTTTCCGGGAAGCTGCCACAACTCCTACATCCTGCGCCAGTCGGCCCTTTACGACAAGTTCACGCAGAGGCAGATGCCGGACGGCTGGCTCGTGGGTAAGCCGATATCGCTTACAAGTGTGCTTCTGTGAAGTAAGGAAGGGTTAAAAACCTCTGCCAGTTTTGGCCAC